TAGTTCTTAGGTCTGCTGTGATAATGCTCTCAAAAGTGTACCATGTAACACCAAGACAATTCAAAAGAGTTTTATTATCTTGACAAGAAGATGACTCTGATTCTTGTGTATTTAAAACCCAGATCCAGATGAGAAAAGCCACTCAAGCAAAGTGACATCCAAATCAGATAAAACCACATGGATTACATGATGACTGCTGTTTTGCAGGGACCCTACTGCCTGGCACACAGTATTTGCCCAATGAGCATTGCTGTATTGGTTGATGGCAGAATGTTGCTTCCTTCCTGCTACAGAGGCAGGCAGTCTCACATAGATGGGCATTTTGGTCCAGGGTACCAATCAGTGAATTCTGTCCCAGGCTGTCAGTGGTGCCCAAATGGAAGAGCCTGCAAGAGTTCAGGCTGTTGAGTGTGACCTGTCTTTGTTGGGCTCTGAGCTCAGGAGCAAAACTCTGCATGAGGAGGACTGATGTGGGCTTGACCCAAGTGAAAGCTCTGGACTAGGGTTTTGAGGTCATTCCCTGCTTCCTGGTCCTTCATGAATGGGGCATAAGATAAGCTAGGGCTCAAGATCCATCAAGGATGAGAATCTTGATGAACACAGGATAGAAAGTTCACTCCCATCCTCACAGGTTTCCAGGGAACCTGGACATGGGAGGTGGAGAGAAGCTGGCTCAGACTAAGATGCAAGATCATTTGGGGTTGGGGGAGGATGGGCTGTTGGGAGAACAGACATTGTACTGGCTCTGGCCATAAGACAGGGCCATGACAGCCACTTAAGAAGCATTTGGGGACACTGAAAATTCTTACTGAAAGTCTTCATGCTTCCAAGCTTCCAGTTGTGCTGATTTGAAGAGGGAGCCCTGAATGAACCACAGCTTTCCAAAAGCCACATATCCATTTCCACTAGGTGGGAAATATAATTCCCTTTACAAACCTGGGGTCTTTTATGTTTTCACAGTAGCACAGAATCAAGGTGGAGTCAGGGTGTAGGTACAGAATGTGGTAAGATGGCATTGTAGGAATGAGTTTTGTCTAGAAAGGGTCCTTATTCCTGGGTAGCTTAAACTCAACCTGTTGCAGGGAGCTGGCATTGGGACAGGTCATTTGGAGCTACTATCAACAAAGCATGGTTTTATATTCTAGAGGTGGAAGATGGAGTGTGCTTGAGGGGAAGCATGTAAGGAATCATAAATGTGAACAGATCCTGCTGGACATGAATCAGAACCTTACAGAATATTATGCTGGTGAAGAAAGGAGGAATCTAGCACTTGTGTTCTAGAGATGAAAGTTTATTAAGCACCTGGCAGTGTCCCCTCTACTCCTCTACCCAGTGTACTTTGGGCCTTTGTTCAAGAGAAGATGAAGATCAGTTCAGGAGGCTTCTCAGTCTTGTCCCTGGAGTTTAAAGGATTTCATTGTTTTTTCAATTCAGCGTTGAAAGCTTGAGATCCTGGTGTAGACACTTGGGGGTGTCCCTTTCTTTTTTCCAAAGGACACAATGCCCAGGGCCACGTTTTTACACACTAGAGGACCCCCAGAGTCTCCCTGTGGGTAGAGAGATCAACCCTGAGCTGGCTTGCTCCAATTCTCACACCATCCCCTCCCCATATGGTTGGAACTGTTAGAGGGTTGTGTTTGTGAATTCACAAACAGGGCAGTCCTTGTTCCCTCATTCAGTCCGGGGGCTGCAGCCTGACCCTGACTATTCCCTCCAGTTGACTGATGCCTCTCTTTCTCCAGTAAGTCTCTGTCTATGAAGTGACAATGGGCATCTAGTCTCCACTGACCCTCAGGACCAGAGACTGAATTGATGAAAGGCAATTTGAGGAGAAACAGGGGCATGAGTATTTCCCTTTGCCCTG